AAAATAATATGTGTGCTGCCATTTATCAAAAGATTATTTGTTTCTCACTTCGAGGACAATTAATAGCAGCAGCCTTGTTAAACTTCCTGCCTTAGTATCGATCAATAAGCATTCATTCCAGAAAGCTGTGCTTCTGAAAGGTCTAGCATTAAATAAAAAGCTGACATTTCAAAGATTGACTTTTATGCCCAATCAAGAACGTAACCATCTTACATTTAAATCCTTTAGCATTCATGTATTTTGCCTACATTTTTATGCCAAAGCAGTCTATTTTGTTAGGCTACCAGCAAGCAGAAGAGAGCAGTTTAAGGACCTGTTCTGACTTTCTTTGGTTCTACCCGTATTTATACTGTCAGCGCCTTCTTTTTCTGGTTTCAGTGATCAGCATTTACCACAACTGTATAGGTAGCAGACCACTTGCAGAATGAGATTTTGAAGTGGGGCTGAAAGCAAAGAGGATGTATGCGATGTATACAAAAAGGATATATATCTTCACGCCAGCTGCAGTTGTTCCTGTACTGTATTTTACACACAGGCTTGATGGTTCAACAGCGGGTTGTGGAGAGCGTGAACTTGTTGTGTTTAAGTATGTTGAGCTCTCTTATGTTCTGAGCAAGATGAGAGATGAGTTCTTGTGGTGCAGTGTGTCTGAAGATGAGAAAAATTTGAAATAGCAAAAGTTAAATCCCTGTTTGTGTTTTGATATAAAGTAGATAGGTTAAATAATAGATTTATTATGTAAGCAGAACTAGTTGGAAGAAGCAAAACAATTGAGTACTTTAAAGAAGTTTGTTGCTTTATTTTATAGAAAAAAACATGACAGCAGTCTATTAAGACTTTATAAAGTTCTGGTGTAGCAAGAAGGGAGTGTTACCATATCATTTCTTGCGGTAATAAATTTAAATGGTCTGGTTGTTATTAGAATGCTGATCAGGAAGGAAACAGAAGTCTGTCCTTTTTTCATAAAAAGGTATAAAAAGGTTACACACTTCAAAATGCAGAAAAGACAGAAATTAAAAGCTTAAATAACTGCAAACAGCAGGGTACGTCAGTAATGGAAGGACTTCTTAAATGACTTTGACAGCTTTTGCAGGTGCACGTACTATGTCACTTTGCCTAGTGGAGCATTGAAAAAGATTTATGGTTCTCCTTTTGGAATTTATTAAGAGTTTCTTTCTTTCTTTTTCCTTCTTTGCAAAGTAGTCTGGACATACCCCTCCCTTGCAGTTGTTTTTATTACAGTTCCTAGAGGAAAGTCACCTATTCAAAAACATGTGTTGCTTGTTGTCTCTGTGGCTAGCTCACAGAGCTGTAAATGCTGGAGAATGTTGTTATTTACAGCCAGATATTTTCCTTTCCTTCCCCTTTTGCTTTTTTTCTTTGTATGTAAATCCCATTTTATTTTGTTTAGTTCTTGAAAGTTTTCCTGTATAATTTTGTACCCCTAAACATTTTAATTGGTAGCAAAAATGTTTTTCCAAATAGAGAGTCTGACTATCAGGAACTAGAAGTTTTTGTTTTGTGGGGGTTTTTTTGTTTGTTTGTTTTTTGGTTGTTTTTTTTTTTAGGTTTAGCAACAGATGCTCTGTTATATTCCTTTCTATGATGTTGTTCTTGCTTTCGCTAACACACTTGCATAATACTGTTTGTAGATGCTCTGAGGGGCCACTGCTATGCCTGTGGTGTTTGCTGATTCTAATTAATTTTATTCAGTTCCTGTTTCTCAAAGACACAATCTCTTTTTTCTTTTTCTTTTTTTTGTGGTGTTTTTTGTTTGTTTTTTTTTTTAGTTTTTTGAAACTTGCAGTCTATGCTCTTTGAAACATTATTTATTATTTTGATAAATCAGTGACTGTTATCTTGTGGAATTTTATTCCCTTCACAGGGTTAATCGATCTACAGATGATCAAGTGTTGGTTTTGGGTTTGTTTTCTGAAATCTCTCAACATTTTTTAAGAACCTTCTTTCCTGCAAAATCTTGTCTTTACGTTAGTAGAAGTAAATGTGATGGCAGCACCTAATTCTGATGGAAATTCCAAGAAAGTGAGACAGAGGCAGGGGTTTGCCCTCTAAGAGTCAGTTCCAGGATTAGAGCTTTAATTACAATGAATGTCATGTCAGAATTTTCTTGGGGAAGTAGCGAATTACCAATGTTATAGAAACAAAGTATTTTAATTGTCCCAGTGAAGATAAAGCAGCAACTTTTAAACTGAAAACAGTGACTGCAGTTGTGGCAGTAATCAGTACGATAACCAATTAACAACATCAATTAAGACAGAGTGGTTAACCTCCCTTTAGTTAGAAGCAGGGATGTGACTGATTACAACACTGATGGGAATGACACAAAGAACTCTCAAAACTGGGAAAGACTTAGAAATATCAATAGTTTGTTTCTCTGCATTCCATTCTATAACTTTTGCTCGGTATGAAGCTTAGTTTGGGTTCTTTCATAGTTTTTAATACTCTAATAATTCTGTCATTTTCTATCAACTGTTACTTGGTTTAACACATTAAGAACCACATGTTTCCTCTTTGTGGACGAAGAACTATGGAAACTGTTATCAAAACTTGCTGCTTTAATTAAATCCTCTCTTGTTGAACAAGAACAAATGTGTCAGTCTATAAAGAGTGAACTTTGAGACGTTCCTGACAATAACGGGGGGAAAAAGTTACAGAGAGTGTGCTGGTACATGTTGAACACGGACAACATCTGTAATAGGTGACGTACTGAAATCCTCACAGTACAAGATTTCCAAGCTCCTTGTAGTCTGAAATTAAGGCCATATTTCTTCCCCATCAGGGGCTTGTAGATTCGGGCATTCAGTGAACTGCATGATGAGATGTGGGCAGTAGCACTCATTTTTACTTGCGTATGATTTTCTTTAAAGTTAGCTAACACCGTTTTCCCTTTGCACAAATTCTATTTATATGTCTTTAAATTATGGCCAGTTTTCCAAGGTTCAGAATCTCTTCAGTGGATTGATTGCCTGCATAGTTAATTTTTGCAGGGTTTTGATGCAAAACAAGTATGAGAGATGCACAGACCTTAAGACAGTAATTTGTGAAGCATAAGTGACTAAAATTCATGACTTAAATGTACCTGGACTTGTGCAAAGCATTTGACACTGTCCTGCACACATCCTTGTCTGTAAATTGGAGAGACATGGATTTGACAGATGGACCACTTGGTGGATAAGAAATTGGCTGGATGGTCGCACTCAAAGAGTTGCAGTCAAGGGCTCGAAGTCCAAGTGGAGACCAGTGACGAGTGGCGTTCCTCAGGGGTTGGTATTGAGACTGGCGCGTTTAACATCTTTTTTGGCAACATGGACAGTGGGATTGAGTGCACCCTCAGCAAGTTTGCTGATGATACCAAGCTGTGTGGTACGGTTGACATGCTGGAGGGAAGTGATACAATCCAGAGGGACCTTGACAAGCTGGAGAGGTGGGCCCGTGCAAACCTCATGAAGTTCAACAAGGCTAAGTGCAAGGTCCTGCACATGGGTTGGGGCAATCCCAAGCTTAAATCCAGGCTGGGCAGAGAATGGATTGAGAGCAGCCCTGAGGAGAAGGACTTGGGAGTGTTGATTGATGGGAAGCTCAAGACAGACCCAGCAATGTGTGCTTGCAGCCCAGAAATCCAGCCATATCCTGGGCTGCATCTAAGGAAGTGTGACCAGCAGGTCGAGGGAGGTGATTCTCCCGCTCTACTCTGCTCTTGTGAGACTCCACCTGGAGTGCTGCATTCAGCTCTGGGGCCCCCAACATAAGAAGGACATGGACCTGTTGGAGAGGGTCCAGAGGAGGGCCACAAAGATGATCAGAGGGCTGGAGCACCTTTCCTATGAAGACAGGCTGAGAGAGTTGGGGTTGTTCAGCCTGGAGAAGAGAAGGCTCTGGGGAGACCTTATTGCAGCCTTCCAGTACCTGAAGGGGGCCTACAAGAAAGCTGGAGAGGGACTTTTTACAAGGGCATGTAGTGATAGGACAAGGGGTAATGGCTTTAAACTGAAAGAGGGTAGATATGGATTAGATATAAGGAGGAAGTTCTTTACGATGAGGGTGGTGAGGCACTGGAACAGGTTGCCCAGAGAAGTTGTGGCTGCCCTATCCCTGGAAGTGTTCAAGGCCAGGTTGGATGGGGCTTTGAGCAACCTGGTCTAGTGGAAGGTGTTCCTGCCCATGGCAGGGGGATTAGAACTACATGATCATTAAGGTCCCTTCAAACCCAAACCATTCTGTGATTCTATGAAGATAGAGACTATTTTCCCAAGTATTGTAGAAATCTTTAGCCTGGTTCTGTTTGCTAAATCATAATGTGATATAACAGGTTAGTGAGTACTCAGTATGGTAGTGTGTGAATTTACAGCACACCAGCTACTCTACACAAGCTCCTCATGGGATGCTCTGAGTATACGCTAACTTTGAGTTAACTGTAATTTACAGTAAATTATTCTGCACAAAGGCATTCTTAGTACATAGTTTTTGAGCTGGCATACTACTTACTCTGCAATTCTGTTTAACACCCTAACATAATATAGCTATGTAAAGAAACTCCTGGCTTCTTTTGTATTTGCTGCTTCAAAAATCCATTTTTCTTCATGCTCAGTAGACTACGTCAACCAAAATTTGGCAAATATTTCTATCAGAAGGTAGTAAACCACAGTGCTTTTTGTGATGTACATGCAAGAAAGGGTAGGTAGTAGACTTGAGTGATGCTTTTCCTCCAATAGCCAGTCTTCTGCTAATCAAGGCTTTGCCTAAATAATAAGGCACTCCATAGGCCATGAAGAAAAATTTTTCTCTTGCTTTTTAATTGGTGATGCTTGAGGACTTCACATCCTCTCATAACAACCTTTAGAAGACTTGATTGATATGTGGTTTTCCTCATCAAGTGTTCAGGAACTCTTAACGAGTGAAGTGGCAGCTAGTCTCCAAATAAGTAGTGCCAAAATAGAAAAAATAAACAGAAATTATAATGTTAATTTTCTATCCTCCAGACTCGCTTCAACCAGCATTTCAGTAACCAGGATTTTGCCTTGGATGAAGACGATGATGATGAAATGGAGAGAACAAGCAAGTAAGAAGCCTGTTTGGATGTGTGTGTATGTATGGGAGAAAGGGTAACTAGTGTCATTCAGCAAAGTTGAGTTCAAGTGACGCATTTTTCTCCTGTTCAGGCTGCTAGCTTGGTTCTTGGTCTAGATGATGTCAAGTAATTTAGGATTAAATATGCTTTTAAAAAGAAGGACAGGCTATTATATCTTTTCATTATTTATAGTGCCTAGAAGAGCTTGACATAATCCTCAGTCTTCACAGGCTCAAGATAAAAAGATAGGCTACATACACAAAGAAGCAGCGAAATAATATTTATCAACGTGGTGGGTAGTAACCTCAGCTAATCTATTCTTTAAGTCTTGTGTTGTGGTCATGACAATGGAAAGTTTTCTGAAGGGTCTGAAAGAGAAATACTGCCCTGTGAGTTTTATATCAAGGTCTTCCTATGTGTGAATTAAAAGAAAATCATAAGTTGAGGCTTAAGCTGCTTTGAGGCATTCTCTGATTGAATTCAGGAGATGGTTTTTGATAATGAACATATGGATATAAACCATGAAGGACCTTGAAAGCAAAGTCCAGCAGCTTAAGCCATGATGCAGTAGGGAAGAGGTAGCTACTGAAGTGTTCAAAGGATACCATCAAAACAGTGAACCATGGAAGTACCCTTTGTAGTAGTATTATGGAGAGACAGAGATAAGGAAAGACTGCAGTAGTATGGGGGTCAGAGGTAAGGGTATCGCAAAGAACGAAAGAGAGAAGAGACAAAAGCACCAGTTTTCCTTGCAGAATAGGCAGTACTTCAGTAAATCAGGTCATACGACAGAAGAAGAGTTGCAATATGAGAGTCTTGCCACTAGAACAAAGTAGGTGGCTAGGTCAGCTGGAGAGGTGTAGCAACACTGACCTAAGTATAAGGTGTACACAAGGGAAAAGAGGAACCAATTTTGGAATAACTGTAAAATTTGGAGGGAAGATTTGGGAAGCTGTCTTAAGGGTGACTTGAAATAACAGTAATTGTGGTTGGGGAGAAGCCAGGAGACAGGAAAACCAGCTAGCAGTAACTGCGTCTCCATAGATATCATACATCTATGTTTATGAAAATTCTTGAGTAGAAAGAAGTTCCAGGTTTATGTCCCCTTTCAAAAATCTTGGAATGCGTTCTCCTACTTGCTTTCAGAAGTGGCTATAATAAAAAGGCTTTTATGTTCCTAGCTAATGGAAGAGTTTTTGTTTTCAGGTTATCATCAGAAGACAGTGAAGAAGCTTCTGCTTGCTTTTATGATAGTGATGATTCTGGTGAAACTGGAATAACTCCTCCACCTCAAGGAGAAATGGACTTGCTTGGGGAGATTTTGGACACGCTGAGCACACACAGTTCAGATCAAGGAAAGCTCTCAGGAGCAAAGAGCCTGGATTTCTTCAGGTCAATGGATGACATTGATTACAAGACTGCGGTTAGTCTTCTGCTCTCATTTGAAAAACAACTCCAATCCCTGTATAGTAGAATCCTGCACTTGTGGAATCAACAACATGCAGCTCAGACACTGCAGCATAGTCCTTAGAATTGGTAGTGTGTCCTCCTAGGGCTACATAACAGTATACCTGTGCTGGCCACTGCATAATGGTTTTTCACCAGCCAAGAGATTGGCTACACCTTTGTCCAGTTTACCAAGTCATCTTTGAACAGTATTTTTCCTGTATAACAGTAACCACATATACAGCTGTGAATAGTGTAATAATTTACTTAATTTAATAGCTTAATATTATATTTAGCTGTTCAATCTGGTATTCCCAGAGCTGGTTTTAGTCTTTTTTTTTTTTTTTATGCAGTTTAGATGGTATTTATTTCCATTTTCACCTTGCATCCTTAAACAAGTCACAGTGATATGGTGATGTTTCCATCATAAGTCATGGGATTGATGTGGTAATTGCACCTGAAACACTGCTAGAATAGTACTCCAGAGCTTTCTAAAAAGGCTTCTTGATCCTTTTTTAGGTAGGGTTGCACAGGACTTGTAGTGTAAACAAACTGCTTGCCTACAACTTTAAAACCCTCACCAAGTCACTGCTGTGATGTTAGCCAAAAAAATGCTAGTGTTTTTGAATTCCAGCTCATATCAGCTGTCCAACATTTACTTTTGCTGAAAGGGATCCTATAGTAGAAGATTCATTACTGGAACAGCAAATTCTGATGCAAATGTTTAGAAAGCTTGTAAAATTTTATATTATGAGTGTCACACAGGGGTCACATTAATAAAATGCCCATTTTTGTTTGGCCAAAGAAGTTTAATATTGAAAGTTGGTATAATTAATCACTGAAGCAAAGAGGAAATGCCATCTGTTTTTAGTTTTAGTCCAGCTCCTTCTCATATTAGGGGTACAAACCAGCAAAGCGTGTCTTTGTTCACTGTCAAAACTGCTTGTGCAAAGACTGAATGGACAGGGGAGACAGAAATCCTTCCTCTGTACAAAAGGTGATCCTTAGGATAAGAGACAGTGTTCTGACGAGGAAGGAAAACACTTGATCTTACATTGTTTCTGGGATTGTTGTTTTGTAACAGTGAACCCCAAAAGGGACCCATGATTTAGGAACACACAAAATCCATTACAGTATTTTTGTTTCAAAAGTGCCAGTGTAGAGACGTTTCTTGTGACATTAACTATAAACACATGTTCTTTCTTTCAGGACAAGTCAAATGCACCTAGTGAGAGCAACCTTACCCTGCTCTGCAGCAGTGCTAATGATCAAGCAGAGTGGAACCTCGGTCAGGATGACAGTGTCATCCATGGGAAGCAGCTCCCTCCATCACCAAGGAAGCAAGTTTCTTCTGGTGGCCATAGAGAATCTCTCTCAAGGCTGGAAGAAGAAAGTAGTGACAAAATCTTTATTACTGACAAGATGGACACCACTAGTATGACATCCCCATCTCCAGTACGATCAAGTGCCCAGTTTGCTTCTCTAGGAAGTTTCAAAGCAGGCTATTCTTCCTCTAAGTATGCAAAGCGGAATGAAACACTAAGCAATACCTCAGAAGATCAGCTCCCAGCAAGTCTAGCTCAACATCCATCCATTCTAGTCCCCTGGGAGAAAGATGGGAAGGAAAGAAATGAAACTCCAGAAGAGGGTGGGCTTCTTCAAGAAGTGGTGTCATTATGTAAACTGAGTTCTGCTTTTCACTATGGTTTAAATATTTCAAAGGATAGCTTATCCAGCAGTAGCAGTGGAAATAAAACGTAAGAAAACTATGAGAAGAGAAACTTGACTCCCATCAGAAGTTAAAGGGAGACTACTCAGGACTGCATATAACTCCATATAACATGATAACCAAAAGATGAAAAAGGAATAAGAGATCTTCGATTATAAAAATAAATCTCTTCAGTTGAGTATGCATTTTCTGCCATTGGGGCATCTGCTTCTATGTTTACCCAGTTCATTTGTTGGCTGTAGTTAGGTCCACAAAATGGAACTAAATATATGAATGCACTCTTAAATCAGGTACTAGTTTGTCTCTGTGTTAAAAATGCAGCAGGTGTATGGTGCTTCCTAGCATTTGCTTCCTCTAAGCAGCAGGAAAGGTATTACCTAACAGGTAACCAGGTTTTGAAGGTACTATATTAATCCTATTAGGCATGAAATGAACCAAGCAATCTAATTTGTCTGAAATGTACAAATGTTAATATTTATAATGAATAATAATTGCCTTAATCTTTTGAGAAGAGGTTTAACTATCTTAGAAGATGAATGCAAATCTACAAAACAGCAATAATGATTTTCCATGGCAAGAATTTGCTTCAGCAAAGGGGGGGAAAGGGAACTTTTTTTAGATTAAGGAATTTCTTGTGAATATAACTTGGAACTTACTCCAAACTAAAACTGTGGCCCTGTCTTCCAGACTTCGAAAAGGTAGCGCATGCTTTTCTCTCTTCTGTAAAGTAAATGAAGTGCTGAATTATGATGTGACATTTATTAACTTCTGTTTACAACTAAGACACTTTAAAGACATTTTATCCGGTTTCCCTAGGTAGACTATTTCACCTAAAAATTTTCAGAAAGGAACGTGTAAGTGGAATTGAAGATTTCTATTATTTTTTGTTTTCTACAGTTTAATAGTGTTTGAAAACTAATTTGTGCCTCTTCTGAACTATTTTCTTTCCATTTTTAGTAGCTACCTTTTTGAAGGTAGATTGAATTACTGTTACTTAGACGTCATATTTAGTTAAATTATTAAAGAGCATGACTGAAAATTACTTGTAACACTAGAGAACTAAAATTACAGATTCAGCTTAAGACTGCATATATCCAACTCTCAGTTTAGCCAAGCTGAACAACCAAAAATCTCTTTTTAAATTCAGTGAAGGAGAATAGATAGACTTGATGTGTATTGTATTTGGAACAAGCATTTATCCTCCTTCTGGCAGTGTTCCTGAGGAATATTTGGATATTTAAAGTCTGAAAATTCTTGCTGCTATATGGAGCAGCTCATTCCTTTTTTTTTTTTATTTTTTAATTTTCCTCCCCTTTTCTTTTTCCGCCTGTCCACCTTGCCATACATACATTGTCCTCCACAATAGCTCAGGACAGGGAAGACATGAAGTAAGTTTCAGCAGATTGGAATTATCAACTTGTGATGCAGTTGGCAGAAGTAACATGCGGGTATAAAATGAACTGTGCCTGAGAAGAATGCTCTCCTGCTCTTCTAAACTCATGTCAGAAACCTTTTTTTCTTACTTTTCCGCTTTGACATGAATGGTCAGTCTTAGTCTCAGTATAGGCCTGAGTGACCATGTTCGTGACGTGAGTATTTGGATCAGATTGTGCTTTAATATCTTAGTAGTAATTTGTGGCAAAGTTTAATATCAGTTGCCACATTGAGATTTATGAATGAATTTTCCTTCTAGCTTTCCTTCTGTTTTTTGGCTGCTTTATTACAAGGCAGCTGACCTAAGGAAATGGATCCATATCATTACAGAGGCAGTGTTTGATGCTTTACCAAAGAGATGCAGTAGAGTGAGACCTTGGTTTTGTTAATGCAAAAGTTTAAGCTTGTTCCAGAATGAGAAGGGTAGGGCCAGTACTCGTCATTGAGGATGAGCCTCCAAAATTATTTTTATTAATCAGTGCAATGAAGGTAAAAGGTTGTAAAAATGCAAATCTTATAGAAATATCTGTGTCTGATTAGAGCATGACCATTCCTGAGGGCATCTGCAATCTGCATTGCTGCAGAATCTCAGTATTCCAGAGTTAGAGGTGGTATGTCCAGGGGTCTGTACTCCAAAGTATTTATCTATCCGTTGGTTTCCTCTTGTGTATCAACATGGTATGTAAGCTGGAAGTGGATTTTTTTTTAATAACATAAAAATGTTATTTGGCAAAATATTTTGTGCTATTAAAATCAAAATTATCATAAAAATTATTTTAAATCTTAGCTGTAACCTTTCCAGGTGGGTTAGACCAGGTGGCTCAGGTGCTGTTCAGATGAGAAAACTGCAGAGCAACCTCATGCATACTTGTTCAGAGGTGGTATTAATGACTTGGTAGAGGGCATTCTTCTCCTTTGCTGGTACTAAACATTACCCAAAAGTAGTGCTGCTAAGTGTGTCTAAGAGAAGACAGGCAAGACAAAGGTCAGTGTTTTGGTAGCGCTTCTCACTTGTTCTCATTCATGTCCTTGCATTTTGTTGATGAGAATTTCAAGATTCACCTTTCCTTTTCCTCTGCATCTGACATGGTGTTTCTGTCCACAGTTCCATCTAAGATGATGTTTTATTTTCTTCATGTATTAAAGATAATAAAAAGTATTAATGTCTTAAGGGGAAAAATAGGAAAAAACTTGGAAATTATGGCTATCATTACTTTCAAAACCATCAAACACGTAAGTTCAGGAATGCTGCCAGAAAATGGTTTTCAGAAATGCCTCTCTAATGGAATAAATCTTACTCCCTTTACATGAGAGTTAGGCACTGAATTCCTATTATCACATAGATTGTCCCATTCTCACCTTTGTGGGAAAAATACGGAAGCCATGTGAGGCTCCTAATATTCTTATAGTTATTATAAGGATCATAAAATCTTAAGTCTGATAGTGGAATCTTTCAAAATCGATGCATTGTGGTAATAATTCACTGCTTCACTGAGTGAAAACGCAGGCTGAAAAGAAGTAAAGAGCTAAGCTAAAAGATGGAAGTTAAAATTCAACTTAGAACTATTTTTATTTCAGTTGCCATCAAAATGCTAGCTACTGTGCTTATGCTGCATTCTTCCCTTACTATTTATAAAGCCCATAGTGTGTTTACAGTCATCAAATAGCGTGTCTTTTTGGGTTTTGAACCTTGTATATGTTCAAAAGTAAGTCGGTCTTATATCCATGTTGAGTTAACTGAAGGTACATTTTTTAACTCTGTAATGTTACAGAATCTTTTCCACTTGCTACCAGTGATCTTTTAAAAAGGCTAATATTTGTGCCTTATTTAAACAGAATTACCAATTACCAAATAGATAAGAGTCCAAACTGATATTTCTGGTTCAATACTTGTTTTCTGTCCTTGTGATAATATAAAACTGTTTATTGGCTACATATACAGTATTTTTATTACCACAGTGGGTTCTATATTAAGATAAATTGTCCAGGTCCAGTACTTTTTACAAGTTTTATACTTGTATGCTTTTTATTTGTGAAAATCCTTCTAATGTCTTCGAAAATCACCAACATTCATCACCAGCTACTGCTGATAACTGAATTCTGCTTAGTCAGAGCTCCTGTGGTCTTCTTCAGAGGTATCTCTTTTCTTCAGGATCTTCCCATTTCTCCTGTTTAAGGGAGATATCAGGTTATTTGATTAAGCGTTGTAATCTGTTACTTACACTTAGGAACAAATTTCTGATGTAGCCAGTCAAACTAGGACTTGAATTTAATATCTTCGAGTGCATTTTGCATAGATGTCTGCCTGAAATGAGCCGTATTGCTCGTCTGGTTTGGGAGGAAAAAAGTAAGGGCAGTAGAAAGAGAAAGGGATTCCTGGGTTGTTCCAACGGGGTAGTGAAGCAGAGCCTGGGAGTCCTCAGGAGGGATGATAACTTTGAGGGAATCCAGATTGCAGGATATTGTTTGATGTTCTAGCTCAGTTGTAGCGATTCCAACCCAGCCATGTAGGCAAAAGTAATATTGCCTATGGAATTAATCCCCTGTGGGATTTGCAGAATGGGTAATATGTTGTCCCAGTCAAAGCCTTCCCATCCGTGTGTGTGGAGGTGCAACATGTGAAAAACAGTGCAGATATTCGGGGAAGGACAGCACTGCGGCTGCAAAGGTGAGCCCTACCCACCCTCTAAGCATGCAGAGGGCAGTCTGTGTAGAGAAGGCAGTGGTTTGCTGTTCCATCCCACGTATTTGGGCGTCGGGTAGCTCTGAAAAATAGACTTGTTCTGAAGGAAAAATGTAGTTGTAGAAGTTGTCGTAGAACTTGTTGACTGAATCATTCATTGTCATGTAGCATTTCAGTGCTACTGCTGCTGTTTGGGTGGGGTCATCAGAAATCCTCAGCACTGGCTGAAGTCTCCTCTCAGGCACTGTAAAACAGACTTCAGCCAGCGTTTTAGACACATGCTGGGTGCTTTTGAAAAATCCCACCCAATCTATTAGAGGAGTGGTTTAGATCTCAAAAATCTGTTTTAGATGTCTTTTCAGGTTTTAGAATGAGCTAGTTACAATCTTGTGTTCTTGTAAACGATGTAAAGTCTAGGCAAAAGAACAGTTAAGCCAGGTTTTTAAAACAGCTTCTATTTCTCCACCTACAGTCAATCATATTCAGTCCTACAGAACAATCTTTCATTGGTCGTCTAATGGAATTGCTAGGAGCATCTAAAATCTTTTCTCTATGCATGTAATTAATTGAAGAAACATTTCATGCAATAATCAAAGTGCCAGCATGAGGCCCTTTTGCAAATGCACCCCCTGTGTAATGCTGACTGTAGTACCCTGTCCTGCAGAAAGGAGCCCCATAACCACTGACCTCCCTGACTCCGCAGGCAGAGGTCAAGGGTGGTCTTTATTTCCAAGGGAGTTGGCATCTTCTCTCTTGGTGCCAGGCTCTAGTCCAGGTGCTGTGAGACTCCAGCCAGCGTGTTCCCAGCAGCCTGAAATTTAAGGCTAAACAAATGTGGCTGATAAAATTATGTCTGAGGCAAGCGGCTTCCCTATTGTAAAGCTCAGGATGGTGAAGGCTGGCTGTTCCCATGAT